CTGACATTTTTGACACTTGAAGAAGCCATTGTTCACACGGGATTTTGAGGAAGATGAAAGGGGTTTTTGAAAGCAAAAACTTGAAACGAGAGAAAATATTGATGAGAGTAAAAAGAAGTGAATGTAAAAAGTAAAATTTGAGTTTAAATAGGTTTCTTGAAAATGTAAACAGTAAGAAAGAGAAATAATTAGCCATGATTATAAGCATTAATGACAGCTGAAATTAGGGGATTTAGAAAGATACTTGCATGGTTACCCTTGACAAGTGTCTCAATGCACCCAATCAACGCCTTTGACCTTTCAGAAAAATGAACGCGTGTTCAGCCTCAGAAGGTGGCTGATGAATGGATGACAACTGTTTGATCATGTGAACTGCATGCTTCTATCCTTGAAATGAAACGTTCAGATCTTCATGGATAGATTCTGATGCAATCTTTACTTCTAAACTCTGAAGACAGGTTGATCAGTAGTTCACAGAAAATAATAAAATTATGAAGGTTAAGATATACAAATAAAATATTTTATTCTGGGCATAGCTTCATGCTGAGATGTTTCAGAATGAAGTTAAACCTATCTTCAGAAAGAGGTTTTGTAAAGACATCAGCCCATTGATGGTCTGTGTCTGTGGTACGGTGGGAGAACTGACTGTGGTTTTGCGTTTGTTTTTGCAAATGTTTCGGTTGAGCAAGAGTCGCCACCGACTTTTTATTTTATCCTAAGGAAAGGTTTAAAAAGCACAGCAAAAACCTTTGAGATGTTTTTTTTGGGTTCGGGGAGTAGATTATAGAAAGGGAAGGTATTAGCACCCTTTCTATCCATGGCTATCCATGGGCTCTTAGTTACTTGCTTAGATCAACTTGCCTTGGTTTTCAATTATTTGAAATGGTGTTTTGTGTGTGTGGATTTGAAAATGTTTTGAAAAGAAGCCAATGTGGTGGCAACCTTTGTAATGATCCATGTTGGGATGTATACAAAGGTGTATGTCTTTTGAAAAGGTTTTCATTTGTTTTTGAAAGTTGTTTTGAAAGTTTTGTGAGGTGTGGTTTTAGAAAGTAGGCAAGTGTTTTGTTTTTTGCAAGTTTGATTCAAGTAACTAAGAGGTTATCTACTCCTAAATTTCTCAAAGATTATTGCTATGTTTTAACCCTTTTAACAAGTTTGTTCCACCATTGAATTTGGTGGACAATCTTGTGTTAGGATGTGAACGGGACGGGCGCGGGTCATCGTTTAGACCATAATTGCAATGGTGCCAAGTGTCTTTGGGAAATTTTCCTTTAAGGGACTTGATCATTTTTAGGCAACTTTCGAAAGCGTCATCGAGGGACTATGATCATTGGATTTGTGTTTGTTTTGCCCAAAGGGACCTAACATGCAATATGGCCCATTCATTGAAGGCAACAAGTGGAATACCCTAGGGGTGCAAGTGTGATAAGTGTTGTCCATTTTCATGCTTGTTTATCTTTAAATTAGGTCAAACTATTTTGTTGTTTTCGCATACAAACCCTAATTCTAACATGGTATAATTAGAAAGCAATAAAGTGCGAAAAATAAATTTACTAAGCTATTACAACACAATATATGGGAAGGGGGGTACAAATGTTCAAATGGGGGTTTTTGACAAGGAATTTAAACCTAAACTATTACATCAATATTGAATTATTTACAAGATAATTAATTGCACAAATTAAATAAAATAAGAATAAATATGCAAGATGCAAAAAATGTTTTTTTTATATGTATGAAAAAGAGTATTTTTGTATGTCAAATAAACAAAATAAAAAGTATTATTTGTGAGTTTTTTATGTTTAGGGCAAAACCCTAATTTCTTAAGTAAAATGTATTAATTATTTAATATATACAATATTTATTTATTATATACAAAAATAAATTAAAAAATGAAGTATATTTGTAAAAAGGTATTTTTTTATATTAAATATTAATAAAAAATAAAAGTGTGTACATTTTGTATTTTAACCTAAATATACTAATATCTATATAAATATTTGTATTATTTATTAAATATATGTATTATATACAAAAATAATAATATTTAATATTTATAAAAAAAAAGTATATTTTATATAAAATATTTTCAGAAGGTAAAATGAAATAAAATGGAAAATAAAATGTGTTTACATTATTTTAACATTTTTTAAATAAAAGTATATCTATTTGCTTATTTATGTACAAATATTAACCTAAACAAATAAATACCTAATAAATATGAAAATGGTGTAAAAAATATTTTTTATATTTTTAATATCATAAGAAAAAATAAATAAGTCAAACCAAAAAAGAAAAAGTCAAAAAATCATTAAAACAAACAAAATGGGCCTAGGGTGTGTGTGTGTGAAAATAGGGTGTAAACAGAAATAACAAACAGGCCCAACCCAGAAGGTTGTTGTCTTCAACCTTCAGACAAACAAATTCAAAAAAACACGCGCCTTTCTTCTCAAATCCCTAACTCCTGATTCTTTGATCTTTTGCCAAATCTTCCAACATGAAACCTGTAGAGCTTGAAGCCACGATTCTAGACATATAAAAAAGTCAATCTAACTCTCAGAAATGAGAGAGAATTTCTTCTCTCCCAATTCCTGACCTAGATTTTTATCAATGTTCAGACTTAAAATTCTCTAAGCATACATAATATAAATGAAATCTAACTACATGGGCATGTTCAGGGCTATGAATGTGACATGTTTTCTTCACAAACCTAAAGCTAACAATGCCTGGATAGAGAGATTCGTGTTCATGAACTTACCTGTTCAGTTGAAGTTGTATCTGGTGATTGAGGTACCTTCAGTGCAAGGTGATGATTGGTACAACTTCCTTGATGTCCAGGGATGCTATTCCAAGCTTTACTTTGTCTTGAAACCTTTTGAATCGTGCTATAGAACTTCAACTGCAAAACAAGAAAATGAAAATGGTGATGTTGCCTGGGAGTGTTACAGGTCGTGTTTGAGGTTTTGATTAGCTTATATGGACATTATGGAATGTGTTTGATGTATTTTTTAGCAAGAAAGCATGGAAGGTTTCAGCTATGGAACTCAAACTGCAGGGATGCCCTGTTTTGAGCAGTTTGAAGGTGATTCTGGGAATGAGAGTGTTTGGGACTTGGTTTGCTCGTGTTCTAGCTCAGAATGGATGTCTTGAATATGTTTGATAACTTTCTCTAAGCATTGGTTAACTGATATGAGAGTTGGTCTATGTTATGCTATGTTTCTTACACTTTAAGCAAGCAATGGCTGTAGCGGTGAAAATCGGAGATCAAGCTATTAATTAACTTGACTCACAAAAGCAAGAGTCGCCACCGCGCTTTATTGTTTCCAAGGGAAAAGGGAAAAGAGCGAAATAAAACCCTAAAAATATGCAATGTAAAATAATACTTAAAAGTAATAAAAAATACAATGCGTGTTTGAAAGAGATCGAGAGTTCGGGGGTTGGTTATACAATGGGAAGGTATTAGCACCCAATGCATCTGCGGTACTCCGCAGGAACCTTTTGAAATATCTGTTTTTGGTTAAAATTGTTTGTTTGATTAAAATGGTTCGTTTGGCTAAAAATAGGTGTTGGCGAGATTTTGAAGATGCGACAACCTAGTGTCGAAGTTTTGACTTAAAAAAGGTGTGAGTTTGAAAATGGAGTCTTTTGGGAAAATTATCTTGAGTTTAGCAAAATAGTAAACAAACAAAAAATGAAAAAAAGGGTATTCGCACGATCGGATGAGATGTATTTGATGACGTGAAGTCAACTGAGTTGAAACATTTCCCTTGGAATAAGCAGAATAAAATGAACATCAAAATATAAACATTCAGAAGTTCATAAGAAAATAAATCTGACAAAAACAAATTAATGATCAAGAGGCACCGAGAAATTGAAATGACAGAAATATACAAATAAAAGGAATATAACTAATTATCTAAAGAGGTTATTCGAACTAAACTAAAAATTAATTACTAAAATAATTCTAAACTAATTACAAATTCTAAGGTTATAAAAAATCTAGTATTATTGAATTTGATCTAAACTAAACTAAAGTTTTAAAATTTAGTAAGTTAAATCTAGATTAAATTAAAATCCTAAGGTTACTAAATTAAATCTAAAACAAATGAAAATTTCAAAGTTACTAAACTAAATCTAAATCGAATGAAATTCTAAAACTACTAAACTAAATTTAAATCAAATAAAAACTCTAAAGTTATTAAACTAAATCTAAATCGAATAAAATTCTAAAACTACTAAACTAAATTTAAATCAAATAAAAACTCTAAAGTTATTAAACTAAATCTAAATCGAATAAAATTCTAAAACTACTAAACTAAATTTAAATCAAATAAAAAAAACTCTAAAGTTATTAAACTAAATAAAAATTATAAACTTATTAAACTAATTCTAAATCAAATAAAAATTATAAAGTCAACTAAATAAAAGTCAAATGAAATTCTAAAGTCACTAAACTAAAACTAAAATTAAATTAATTCTAAATCAAATAAAAATTATAAATTTATTAAACTAATTCTAAATTAAATAAAAATTCTAAAGTTAACTAAATAAAAGTCAAATGAAATTCTAAAGTCACTAAACTAAAACTAAAATTAAACTAATTCTAAATCAAATAAAAATTATAAATTTATCCAACTAATTCTAAATTAAATAAAAAATTCTAAAGTTAACTTAAATAAAATCAAATAAAATTCTAAAGTTATAAAATAAATCTAAACTAATTAAAAATTATAAATTAATATTAAACTAAATTATTTATAAGATTTATTAATATATATATTTTTTACGTGTGATACTCTAATCTCTAAATAGGAACTTTTTTTTTTTTAAAGTTGAGGTACAATTAAACTTAAACCTAAGATATCACAAACACACACACAATCCACTTACTTGAAATTTAGAGTATGAAAGTACACACAATCACTTATTTAACTCAAGAGTATGAAAGTAGTAAAAGTAAAGGTATACAATTCCTTACAGAAACGGACATGCATCTTCTAATCACCACCGGCATGCTTGATCTCTTGAAGTTCTTTAAAATTCAGCCATGGTTTGACCCATACTTGAGCTTCATAGATCTTCTTCTCACCCGCATCAACAGCCTCAATCGTAAGGTGATGCAGTGTACCAGCAACAACCTGTTCCCGTGTTTTGACCATCCTTGTAAACTCCAGAAGAGAATTCTGTTTGGTGTTGTGTTGATCGACGGCGAGTCGAGCAAGGGATTCGATTTCGGCCGAGTTTTGAGAACCGGGGGAATCGGAGACGCCTCCTACTTTGGTAGCAATTTGTGATCGAAATCGGAGTAGTCTCACGAAGAAGAATGAGTTGGTTTGGAATTGGAATAAGGTTGGTATGTTGGAGATGGAGGAGGTTGCTGAAGTAAAATGAAGTACAGAAATTGTAAGAAAAAGTGTGAAGAACATAAGAGGTGCCATTTTGGTTTTGTAATGAGAGAAAGAACAAAGTAATTAGATGTAGAAGTAGAAGAGAGGTGTTGTGAGATTATTTACTGTGTTGTTTTCGTTGTTGTTTTGTGATGTGAGAGGAATAAAAAGTGGAAAGAGGAATAGAAAGTGAGCTAGCTACTGTAAGTTTCTTTTTTTTGTTGTGTGATGTCCCCCCCTTTGCAAAGAAAAATGAAGTCTTTAAATAGAAAAAAACTAGAAATATTATGATTTCAAAATAAATCCGAGCCGTTCAATATAAATCCAATCTCTATCAATCCGCAAACCATGCTTTCGACCAATGAGAATTCAATCTCTATCAATCCGCAAACTATGCTATCGACCAATGAGAATTAAGCGAAGCCTAATTAATATTTTTTTGTGACCAAAAAGTCCCTGAATGACAAAAATAAAATAAAACCTGAAATTATAAATAAAAAAAAAATAACTCAATTTAAAATGATTTTTTTGAATATTTTATGAATAAAAAAATAAAGACTCAAAAATGACCGAAAATGATAAAAAAACGGACAAAAATTTATCCGATAAAATAAAATGAACACATTAAAATAAACTACATGTCACAAAGATTAAAGAAAAAATACTCAAGAAGTCAAAAACCAAAAATAAAATAATAATAAAAATATCAGACTAAACAGACGTTTAAGATTAAAACGAGACTTCGAACTGTACCGAAAAATAAAGCGAGCATACCGTCATAATCTACGCGAAGCGCAGATTCATAAAATGATCGGTAAAAGGTGAAGACTTGAAATGTTTTTCTCGCTAATTTTCGTACATTGTTGAATCGCTTTTAACAGTTTGTCTATAAAACCAAAATATTTTTATTATCGACATATAAACAACTTGGAGCAATGCAAGAAACGAGTAAAGAGATAAAATGCATGAAGCAAAATGCCGGGTATTTTACAACTGAAAGACGATGCAAACTTTGATTTAAACTGACTTTTTCTGATCAACTTAAATACGTCTAATGATGCAAAATGTGATGAATGAAGATATTTACTAATGATCATGACCAAATGACAAAATATGGTATGAATGTGCGACTGAAAAATTAGGGGCGAAATTAAGGGTGCAACGGTGTGCCTTGATGAATCAGTCTTCGAGAATCCATAATCAACCGTACTTTTGGCTTGGGAGACTCAAAACCTTAATTGAGGCGCGACACCTGATGCTCTTGATTCAGACCTGTCTCTGCACATGACACAAAAGAAAACATGAACATACACATTTGTATGCGATTAGAAATTAGTGATGCATAGGCTAAAAATGTTCAAAACACTTGACAATCTTCGCATAGTCAAAGCTCGAAGGTGAGACGTTAAAACCGACCGTATTTCGTGACCTTGACTTATCTTGAAAAAATGCAAAAATAAAAATGGGATCTTAGGTCAAAAATTGGGGTACAACAGCTGCCCCTATTTAAGTTTCTTCTATCTGGAGATATGAAGATTGGGATCTTCATTTCGACGAGATTGAAGGGACTTAAATATAGAATACACAATTTTTGGCCTTAAGATACCGTGATTATGTTTACAATATGATATGAATGTGATGGTTTGAATTTTATGGGGAATGACGCCATACGAGACAGACTATGCTGGAGAAACCAAGCACATTATACAGTAATCCTACAAGGGAACAGATTATAACATCACTGGGGAAACAAAGTCATAGACTTCAAATGAGAGACTCTTGAATGATTTACATCAGTGTTGAGACTGGAAAAGAGATGATTTACATCAGTATGAAGACTGGAAAAAGAAATGATTTACATCAGCACTGAGACTGGAAAAGCATATGATTGACATCAGTACTGTGGCTGGAAAACAAAATGATCGACATCAGCACTGTGGCTGGAAGACAAAATGATTGACATCAGCACTGTGGCTGGAAAACAAAATGATCGACATCAGCACTGTGGTTGGAAGACAAAATGATTGACATCAGCACTGTGGCTGGAAAACAAAATGATTGACATCAGCACTGTGGCTGGAGATAAACATCTCTGAATTCTGAATTTTACCAAGAACGGTAACACATTTCTTTTTTAACCAAGATATCGCTTGAAAAGGATAAAATAACAAACTTCCCCATGGGACTTTTCCGAAGGGATGCCATTTGTTGAGTAGACATTATTGTTGGGGATACACAAGCTGCTCAAATAAAGAGGCCGCCACTTGCTTCCTTTCAAAGGTGTCAATAACATACAAGCTGCTCATGAAGAGACTGCCACTTGCTGTCTTCAAAGAATATTAAAGCACACAAGCTGCTCATGAAGAGTCTGCCACTTGTTGCCAATAACCCACAAGCTGCTCATAAAGAAGCTGCCACTTGCTGTCTATAACCCACAAGCTGCTCATGAAGAGCTGCCACTTGCCGTCTTTAAAAGTGTTGATAACATACAAGTTGTCCATGAAGAGACTGCCGCTTGTTGTTTCTTTTCAAAATTACCAATAACACACAAGTTGCTCATGAAGAGACCACCGCTTGCTGTTCATAACACACAAGTTGCTCATGAAGAGACCGCCGCTTGCTGTTTGTCAAGAGTATCCATAACACACAAGTTGCTCATGAAGAGACCGCCGCTTGCTGTTTTTAAAAAGTGTTGATAACATACAAGTTGTCCATGAAGAGACTGCCGCTTGCTGTTTTTAAAAGTGTTGATAACATACAAGTTGTCCATGAAGAGACTGCCGCTTGCTGTTTTTAAAAGTGTTGATAACATACAAGTTGTCCATGAAGAGACTGCCGCTTGCTGTTTTTAAAAGTGTTGATAACATACAAGTTGTCCATGAAGAGACTGCCGCTTGATGTTTTTTCTTTCAAAGTTGTTAATAACATACAAGTTGCCCATGAAGAGACTGTCGCTTGCTGTCAATAACTCACAAGCTGCTCATGAAGAGCTGCCACTTGCCATCTTCAAAGAATATTAAAGCACACAAGCTACTCATGAAGAGTCCGCCACTTGTTGCTTATAACCCACAAGCTGCTCATGAAGAAGCTGCCACTTGTTGTCTTCAAGGGAACAATAACACACAAGTTGCTCAAATAGATAAGCTGCCACTTGTTGTCTTCAAGGGAACAATAACACACAAGTTGCTCAAATAGATAAGCTGCCACTTGTTGTCTTCAAGGGAACAATAACACACAAGTTGCTCAAATAGATAAGCTGCCACTTGTTGTCTTCCAAAAATACTAACGTACAAGCTGCTCATGAAGAGACCGCCACTTTCCGTTTTTCGAGGCGTCAATAATATACAAGCTGCTTCGTGAAGAAACTGCCGCTTGCTGTTTGTCAAGAGTATCCATAACACACAAGTTGCTCATGAAGAGACTGCCGCTTGCTGTTTCCCAAAAAGATACCCATAAAATATCGTGAAGATATTGCTGGAGGTGAGAACCAATAATTTCATCGAGGAAGGACAAACTGCTCATGAAGAGACCGCCATTTGTCGTAGAGAAATCAGAAATAATCAAACTGCTCAAATAAAGAGTCAGTCGCTTGTTGTCATGTCGATATTCCAGAAGAAGGTTGTGATAACACTGCTGGGGAATAAAGTTCATCTTCAATGGGGAACCATGAATGGATTCTTCCCGAGAAGACCAAGTATTTACGTTGCAAAATAAATGCACTCTCCATCTAGGTTTCACAGCCTAGAGAGATCCACAGGGTATCGTTCACAAGAGACAAAGCTCAATCCAGGAATAAATTGGAGAGAAAATAGTCAAACAAGACTCCACCCAATGAGGAAACAACTCAAATGGGATTTATCCTACCCATAGATGGAAAAGGAAAGCTAAAGCAAGGTTCTTCCACGAGAGTTAACTCAGTGGGGAATTAGAAAGAAGACGCACTTTCTGCTTAAGTTGGCACTCTACTTGGAAAGATCAAATACATTATTTGAATAGACATAACCAAGGTGTACGAACTCAATGACACAAACAAATGCAAGTGTGAATGAATAAATGAATGTCATGTATGTGCTGACAAAACAAATAGACAAGATAAACTGGAGATGATAAGACATCATAGCACAACCCAACACTCGGCTAATCTCAACAGAATGGGAACATTACTGGAGATAAAACACAGGCCATCATTGGAGCAAGGTCCTTTTACAAGGCTTAAATATCTCTGGAGAGGAAGATATTTTCAGGTAGAAAACCCAAAGTCTAGTCTTCTATTGTCAACAATCCATTGAAAGGATAACAACACAAACAATGTTTTAGCTGGAAAAATCCATGCTTAACTGGAGATACCGGGAACGCCACCCTCTGATAATGTGTGCAAAACATATCACATATCTTTGACAAATCTGGATTGCCCCTAGGACTAATTTTGGATGCCCCAAGTTTACTGCTGATGAGCTGCATGTTGCACGACAATTCTTGCGAATAACTTCACTTCTAAAATGCCCCAAGCTGTCTGGTTGATGAGGAGAAATCATCTCAAGAGGATTTTACAAAAGACCTGGCATTCACCATGCTCTGGTGTCTTCAAACTCTTAGAGGAATTCATCAAATCTCGACGTGATTGCCCCGGATTGACTGTAGTTGGCACAACAAAGTCTTCAAATTTTGCCCCAAAAGAGTAAACAAGTTGGGAAAGCATTAATTGGGAGGAGCAACATGTTCGTGCTTATGGTCTTCAGGTGACATGCCCATGGATATGATTTTTTCTTGACGTGATCTGCCAATTACTCAACGTAGTTTCAGGCCTTAAAAGAATAAACTCATCACTGGTGCTTATGTGAGCTTCCTTGATATCAAACAAATGTTTTGCAGTTAGAAAAAGTTTACAATGAGAATGAAAATTCTAATGCAACAGTTATGTAAGTCTTGAAGATTTTGAAAAGATATCGCACAAATTTTGCGAGTTAAAGCACCATTTATTTTTGTATGGGAAAAACATATGATACCAACATAACTATTTAGAACATTCATGGGAGTCAGGAACACTATCT